TAGCCTGGCAATGGCCCATGCCTTTAATCCCAGCACTCAGGAGGCAGAGAGAGGTGGATCTCTGTGAGTTAAAGGCCATCTTGGTCTACAGAGCGAGTTCCAGGACAGGTTCCAAAGCAATTCAGAGAAACCCTGTCTTGAAAAACCTAAAAAACGGGTCTCGGGTTCAAGAGTGGTACTACTGAGTGGTCAAAAGGATTAAAAGCAACAACTGGTCTTTCTGAGGACCCCGTTCAGTTTCTGGCCTTCACATGGCAGCTTACAAGGCCAGTTTTAGGGGATCCCCCTCTTGTGGCCTCCACACACACACAGCATGTATGTTCTGCACAGACATTTAGGTAAACACTTGCTTTTAAGGTAAAAAGAAATAAACAGGGTCTCATGTATTCCTGGCTAGTCTCGAACTGACAAGGCAGTCAAAGATGGCCTTAAGATTCCGATATTCCTGCCTCCGCCTCTCAAATGCTGGGATTACAGGAATTCAGTTTTATGTGGAGCTGGGGATTGAACCCAAGACTCTCTGCATTCCAGGCAAGTACTCTAACTGAGCCACATATCCAACTCAGTAACTATTTTTATGGCATCCCTACTATGTGCTAGACTTACTAAGTGCTTTCATCTCATTAACACTTGACCAAATCTTCACAGTTACTACATGGTGGCCCTGCTAATTCCAGAGTCCGTGTGCTTGTCTGTTTTCTTTCTATTTTTATTTTTACATAGGGTTGAAGCTCCCTAAGTGGACCAGGCTGGCCTTGAGCTCACTCAAACTCCCCATGCCAAGGCCTGAGCTTTTATGATTAACTACAATACCTGTACTACAAGTGATTTGACCAAGGTAAAGCATTTTCTAGCAAACTACAATCTAAGCCTCCTGAAGCCTGCCATGCTTTTATAGCACATTTAATTATTCGGAATTCTACAGAAATCTAGCCTTTTGGTAAAATTTGTTCTTCTAATCCTCAAAGTACTTAGGGGAAGGTTCCCTTTAGTCCTTACCAGAGGAGTTGTAGCCTGCACGTCCATATAGAGAGGTCGCAGCACTGCCTCGGAGGGAAGAGCCGAGTGGAGAGCATGATCTACAACTGACAACAGAACGGAGTGTCATTGAGAAACGAAGCAACCGTGGATGCGGGGCACACAAGACAACGGGTGGTCAAAGCTGCTTCGAGGTGAATTAAGGAAGGTTGAGGTCGAGTGTCAAAGGAAAACAAAACAACGCATGGTAAAAGACACCGAGGAAAGTAAAAGACACGGGGTTCTCTAAGAGACGCTGGCGGCAAAAGGGAGCAATCTTCAAACTATCCAGCAGAGTGGGATGAGCTCTAAAAAACAAAAACATTTATAAGAAAATTGAAAAGCTCAGGGTCCTTCAAGGGTTCATGACGGGAGGAGCCTCGACTAGCAACTTTAACAGTTGGCCAGGAGAGATCTGAAGGATGAGACCCTGCCTCCTATGTGGCAAGATGTAAGGGCCATGCTGAGAAAATGTGAGAGCAAGCGACAGGAAGGTTTGGAGGCTGGGATACGGAACGCGGCGGGCAGGCTCCGCAACAATGCTGTGCGTAGCAGCTTCGACCCAACCGGTTCGGGCGGCTAGGGACACTGGGAGCTAAAAGGAAGGGAAGCGTACCGCGCAGGCGCAATCCGCGGGTGGGCGCCGTGAACCCCGGCCGGGCTACAGCGGTAGCAGCCAAATTCGCCCGCCTCCAAGCGCCTCGCAGCATGCTCCCAGCCGTAGAGCCCACCATCCGCAGCGCTTGCAAGTTCTCAGCCCATGCTCCCGGAAGTAACTCCCCGCGCTCCGGAAGCGATCCGACGGGCGACGAGCACCCTCAGCCTAGCTTTCGGTGTGAGGCGTAGAGCCGAGAGAACGCGGCGGCGAACGAGGTGAGGTGGGGCCGGACCCAGCCCGGCGTCGCGCGCGCGTGCGGGGTCCTCGACTGCGAGGAGGGTGGTGGAGGCGTGCTCCGGGTTGGCTTCTGCCCTGGGTCCTGCGGAACCCCTCGGCGCGCGGCTGGCTGGCGCCACGACAGGCCGCCAGGCCCTCACTGTCCTCGCCCTCTCACCCCAGATGCCAGTGGCCGTGGGTCCCTACGGGCAGTCCCAGCCCAGCTGCTTCGACCGCGTGAAGATGGGCTTTGTCATGGGTTGCGCCGTGGGCATGGCGGCCGGGGCGCTGTTCGGCACCTTCTCCTGTCTCAGGTGAGCCTCGCGGGCGGGACTTCCTGGATTCCTTGGACACTTGTTGAGGTTGGAAGTGCAGTGCCTAGGATCTGAGCTCTAGAGTCAAAATGGCTGTCTGAGTCCTGTGTAGTTTAGAGACCTTAGGCAAGATAGATGTCGTTTCCTCAACTGTAGTCGAGGACACTACGGTTACCTACCTCCACTTTTGTGAGAACCAATCATATTAGTATGCTTTCCACAAACTCTAGAATATCGCAAATGCGCAGTGAATGCTTATTACGGTTGCATGGCATTTTAACCTCCAACTGAGTGTGATGAAATGAGCTTGTTGAGCCATTTTCCGATAAACTTAATTCTGTAGTCAAATGTTCTACCTCTGGGTTACAGTTATTCTAAAGGCCATCTCCACATTTGGATAATGTACTTATAACTTACTATTTATTCGGTACTAGTTAAATGTCGTGCTAATGTGTAGTGACCGCGTTTGTAAAGATAATGTCCATTTTACGCTTAGTGCATCATCTAAAAGACAAAGATCTATTAGAAGCACAGTCATGAGCGCATTTCCTGCCCTTATTTGTCGTTCATATCTCTTCCTTCTACAAACAGAAGGGAATTCTGTACATAATGCCCTAGAGCCCTTAGATATTTGTAATTTGCTAATCCTCCTGGGGGAAAGAATGTCAAAGGGATTGTCAAGCTGTTAGTGCATGATGTATTTCAACACTGATAATAATAGGGAGAAGGGAAGGAAGCTAATTCAAAATCATTCCTGTATTTGTATTCCTAAATGACTCCTTCTTGCCTCCTCAGGATCGGAATGCGGGGTCGGGAGCTGATGGGCGGCATTGGGAAAACCATGATGCAGAGTGGTGGTACCTTTGGCACATTCATGGCCATTGGAATGGGCATACGATGCTAATCAGGGCAGTGATTGCTGGGTGCACCGTTACTTCCCCATCCATTTCGACCCTTGTACAATAAAGTTTTTTCTTCTTAGACTGTCTATTTTTACTACAAAAACATAACTAAGAGCTGAAGAAGTTGCTCAGTCCCAGTATTCACAGTTAAATTTTTCTAGCTCCTGTTCCCTGGGATCTTCAGACCTGTGCAGACACCAGACACACAAATTATACACCATGAATACATGCTAGCTTGTTGACATACACATTTAGTCCCAGTACAATGAAGATGGAGCCAGCCAATAGTAGATAGACCTGTTCTACAACATTAAAAAAAAAAAAACATTTGAGTTCAGGACAGATGACGGTACGTGCCTTTAATCCCAACACTTGGTAAGCAGAGGCAGGTGTATCTCTGTATTAAGAGGCCAGTCTGGTTTACAGACCTGAGTTCCAGAACAGGCTCCAAAGCAATACAGAGAAACTTGATTAGGATATCCTGAGATTGTCTTCCTAGCTTCAGATAGAATGATTTATCTGATATTAAAAAGTAGAAAAGGCCAGTTTTCTCAAAGGCCTGTATCTTATCAGAGGACTTTCTACCCAGCATTAACATTAGAATAAATGTAGATAATCCTTCAAATAAATTTTGATCAGAATGTGGCTAATTAGCAAATAAAAACCCAACACTAACGCTCTCTTCCAATCACTTCAGGAACCAGTGGTTACAGTTCAGAGGTGGCCAACCCCAAGAATCACACATTAGCAGGCCTGAAAATAGCCCAGAAATGGCATGAAGAAACCCAATTACAATACGAGGGGTTAACTGGGCGTTGGTGGCGCACGCCTTTAATCCCAGCACTCGGGAGGCAGAGGCAGGTGGATCTCTGTGAGTCCGAGGCCAGCCTGGTCTACAGAGTGAGCTCCAGGACAGCCTCCAAAACAATACAGAGAAACCCTGTCTCAAAAAAACAAAAAAAAAACAACAAAAAACAATAAGTGGTTGACCACAAGTTCCAGAGGAACATGCCCTTTGCCAATAAACAAGATGTAGACAAACAATGCATATACCGTGAGTGCATAGGATATCAAAGCTTTTGTGAAGTTCAAGATGCCAAGGGAACCCCCCCATGGCCCGGCGACCCCCCCCCCTAAAATCAGCATCCTGAGTTTCATTGTTCTACATAGCTTAGAGTTGGAGGCTGCCAACCAAAGACCAATGTTCAAACCAAGATAAAGGACTCCAGCTTGGGCTCCTGAATGTGCCCAGGTCCATGAGGCCACATACAAAAGGTTTCTGGCAGAGTGGTGGTGGCGCACGCCTTTAATCCCAGCACTGGGGAGGCAGAGGCAGGTGGATATATATAATGAGTTCGAGGCCAGGCTGGACCGACAGCCTCCAAAACAATAGAGAGAAACCCTGTCTAGTAAAAAAAAAAATGTTTCTGTCAGTGAACATAGATGGACTGGTATAACACAATTTGCTAATGCTGCTTTTACAAATGTACTAGAGATAAAATCTGTTTTAAAATGTTTTTGAGGCATATGGTAAAGAAAAAGAAGGCTTAGCAACTATAGCTTGGATGCAAGTACAGTTAAGGACCTATTGGAAGTCACTCAGAATGGACACTTCAAAACAATTTGGCCATCAAATTCCGAGAAACAAGCGGGAGCTTGTTAGAACCAGGGGACATACCTAGGTTGTAAATGCAAATACAAAATAATCCTAGCCTGTATGCCTTGACACACATCCTTTCAACAATCCAGAGAAGTGTACACATCTTCAATTTGTGGTAAGCCTAAACTATAATGCTGAGACAGTAATTTGAAATCAAAAGAAAAAACAACCATGGACAGTCTATGCTCCAGTTACTAACATAAACATTTGAAAAACGAAAATTTTTCTTGTGGCCTTTTTCAGAGAATTTTATTTGAGTGGTTCTTACAAAGATTGTTGCAATATGAAAGTCATTTGTTTGATAGAAATATCAAGCTGTCTTGTCAAACACACTGAAGTAACCCAAAAATATATTTCAGAGCTCACAGAGCTTAAAAAGAGCAAAGATTATATGCAACCAGACAAAACCTATTTCTGCATTTCCTATATCTTGCCCAGACTTCTTTGCTCAAACTGTTACAACCATCTTCAAGAAATGCAGGGATCATTTTGTTTGGAAACTCAAGACACACTAAAACACACAGTATTTACAAAGAAACTTTTACAGATACATTAATTGAAAAGTTACCATCAAGAAATATAATTTTGAAATCCCCTTCTTGCCAAATTGATCAAGGTAAGATGCTAAACAGCCTATTAGCTGCCTAGACTTTTCATACAATGTATATTCCAGAAACCTTTGCTGAACCATGAGCCAAATACATGAATGAATGTGAACTGTAAATGCTATGTAAAAAGTTAGGCTTCTGAAACATTAAAACATTACCTGTCTGCCTTTATACAGAAATGACATTTGTTCCTCTAAAGCTATTCTATAGATCCTTAATGTAATTTTCTACATGGACATTTAAAACGGCAGAACAAGCAAACAGCTTTGCATAAAGTAGGATTTGCTAGTTAGGGAGAATGAGCACACTGCATTCCTGTTAACATTTTTATTTTTCAAGATAACAGGAGTTGTATACAAATGACAGTAGACCCTTGCCTTTTATTTTTATCTAAATAAAAGATAACTCAAGATGAATTCTCAAGAAAAAAAAGCTATATACATAAGGGACTATATCTTCCTTCATCGTCTACTTGGAACCAGTAGTTGTGTTGCTGTCATAGAATCAGGAAAGAGGTTGTGGTATGTTGGAAGAGGTACATATGCTGCTGTTATCATTTTACCTGTTAACAAAAAGAAAAAAGTTGAGTGAGTCATCTTTATTTAATCAATAGGTGTTCAACATAAAACCTTTGTAGCAGCCACTCACCAGCAAACCACCTGCCATGCAATGCATTGACAGCAGCAATAGCTGCAGCAATAGATGGGCACTTCACATACACGTTGCCCTAAAAGTATATAAAGAAAAAAATCATAATTAAAAACAAGTTCATTGACCAGACTCTCAAATATAAAAACAAAAAAGAAAAAATTAAAATACCTGAGCTGAATTTTTGTCAACATAAATATGAATAACTCCTCCATGTTTATTACATTCTTCAATAACATCATCTTTAATCTCTGTATCCCATCCAACTTCTTCTTCTCTGTAAGAAAGCACAAAATAAAATTATATTCAAATAGAGTGCGTAAGTACATTGTGGGCTTATGGCCACGTATGTTGACCTGTCATATAGGAGGGAGTCCATTCCCTCTCTCACTCTAAGATATAACAGCAAGATGTTGTGTTAATAATAAATAAATCTTAAAAAAAAGGACTGGTTGAGGATTCCCTTTCATGATGCTAATTGAGACAGATGGATTTTTTTTCCTTCAACGTGGTGGCCATACAACACATAGGACACAACCCAGCCACAGGTCCCAGCCAAAGGCATTTTATCTCAAAGAACCAAAAAACAAAAACACCAAAGTGGACGGTCCTGAAAAAAATAAAACAAAGGTGGAACTTTAGAACCCGCACACTATAAATTGATAAAAATTATTTCCCAACATTTGATTGATAAAAGAAATTTCAAGCCAGGCAATGGTGGCACAGGCCTTTAATCTCAGCACTTGGGAGTAAAAGTTAGTAGTTCTTTTGAGTTTAAAGTCACCCTGGGTTACAAAACATGCTGGGCTACAAAGAAAAACAAAAGACCAAAACTAAAAGGTAGTATACAAAGGCAAACAAAGTATAGTGATCACAAGGAAATAGTCTATATAGATTCATGACTGAAGGATATCTCAAGGCCATCCTTGAATACTGACTGAGATATTATCAGGTAAGAGAGGACTGGTAATTTTCATTAACAGCAAAAATGGTTCACATTCATGGCCAGGACAGGAAAAGAATATAACATACTACTAGTAAATGGGATGAAGGGGATAACCCAGCAGTTAAGAGTACTTCCTGTTCTTACAGAAGACCCAGGTTCAGTTCCCACTACACAACCATCCTTAAAGACGGTTCCAAAGGAGGGCTACAAAAATGGCTCAGCACTTAAGAACACTAGGTGCTCTTCCAAAGGACCAGGATTCAAACCCTAGCACCCACAGATCAGTTCAAAATTGTCTTTAACTCCAATGACAGGGAATCTAATACCCTCACACTTGACACACATACAGGTAAAACACCAACACACATATAAATAAACAGTTGCAATGGATCTGATGCCCTCTGCTGACCTTCCTTGGCAAAAGTGTGGTACATAACATACTCATAAAATAATTTTAAACAAAAAGAATACAATTACACAAATGAGTGTTGAAAGGCCATACATACAAATTTTACTAATTACTACAGCTTTAAATTTCAGCCTTCCTAATAATATATAAACTGAGTAAAAGAGTCAACTATTCACTATAATGCCTTTTCAATTACAAAATATTCAAAATGGGAAATTTCCCAACTGTAAACATACTTACGTTTGAGGGTTAAACATGTTAGAAAGTTGAAAACATTGTGTTGCAAGTGGTTGAACAGATGCAGCTGCAGCTAAAGCTGAGGCTAAAAAAGAAGAAGAAAAATTAGATTCTGGTAATTAACCAAAACCAAAAACCAACCCTATCTTACTGTGGAGGAGACATTCTACAATCACCTTCTTTAATAGTTGCTCATCATTCGACAGTAACACAAAAGTTAACCTTGTAAGTTATGCTTATAAGATTAACTTGTAATAGGTAACACAATGCATAAATACTCAAGAGTTCTTTAGTGAATGAACAGGAAAAGCAGTGCAGACACAGACAAAAGTTTGCGGCTTAGTTGTCAGAATGCTTGTCTAGCAGGCATGAAGCTCTTGGTTTGACATAAACTGGGCACATCTATCATCTCAGCCTGAGGAAGGTAGAGGCAGGAGGAGGAGAAGTTCAAAGTCACCCAGTTTAGCATTACCAAATTCTAGGCTAGACTGCAATATATGAAATACTGTTCTCTAAGAAAACAAACAAAAAGTGTTTGAAACAAGATATAGAGGTGGACAAATTTAATCCCAGCACTTCAGAGTTCTAGGTATCCTGGGCTACAAATGCAAACTGTGGGATAGCCAGGACTACACAGAGAGACCCTTTCTCAAACTAAGAAGAGATTGAGAACAGATATGCAGTCTAACTCTATTAAATTACAGCAAAACAAACCTCAGTACAAATCATTCCAGAAAGAAAAAAGATTAAAAAGTTTGATCTTATTCTGAAATGATAGGAATTTTTGGAAAAGTACTAAATAAAAAATATAAAATAGACATCCCAGATCCGTCATCTCAACTAAAACGGGAAGATTTATATTTTCATCTAAAATGCATGAGTGTTTTCCCTGCATGCATGCATAAGACAGGTATGTGCTGACCTCAAAGGCCAGAAAGGTAAGTCACATACCCTGATATTTTCTTCATAGTGCTATAAACTACCATGTGGATTCTAGGAACCAAACCTGCATCTAAATCAGGGAGCAATCTCTCTGGTCCAACTATTTTCTTTTGAATGATGAACATTATTATTATTATTATTATTAGCATTTTTAAAGAAAAGTGTGTCTAAGCAAAAAATGTCATTAACAAACATTTTAATTTAATTGATTTTCAGGAAAACAGACCAAAAAGAAGAGCATATCTACCGCATGACTATTATAATTTGAACATAATGGACAATGTAGTACTTAAAGTAACAGTGTAACATTAAAGCATACATGGCTGTAGTTAAACACTTTTTCCAAGTTAGGTGTTTTCCAAGATTGGCATTCTTTAGGTTTGGTTTTCTGTTGAGACAGCGTCTTGTCTCTATCAAGTTTTCACAGAGGTACCAAAAATATTAATTATAGCACCAGTTACAGAACTCACCGTAATCATATATCTGACCATATCCCAATCCAATGCATAACAACAAAAGCTAAGAATAAAATAATGCATTAAGAAATTGAGATAACGGAAATAAATGATCACCTAATGAAGTACCACACAAATTGCACTGAACAAAACTTTTACACCTATACATGAAATATTACATAAAAATTATTATGGTAATTTTGTTCTTTCTGGTTTTAAAAAGTGCTTTTCCTTCATTAATCCTTTAAAGAAAAAACTGTCATTTCCTTTCAAAAAATTTCTTTATATTTCCTTTTGTGAACAAATATTACATGCCATAGGCTAAAAGCTACTAATTCCCAGCTAGCTACTTAGAAATCTAAGAACAGCCGGGCGTTGGTGGCACACGCCTTTAATCCCAGCACTTGGGAGGCAGAGGCAGGCGGATCTCTATGAGTTCGAGGCCAGCCTGGCCTACAAAGTGAGTTCCAGGACAGCCTCCAAAGCTACAGAGAAAGCCTGTCTCGAAAAACCAAAAAAAAAAGAGAAATCTTTCCTGGTTGAGCTCCAGGAAAGCAAGGGCTGTTAAAGAGAGAAACCCTGTCTCAAAACACAAAGTACCAAAACAAAAAGAAAACATCAACCCATTGTACAATTAAAGATTCCAGGCTCTAAGAGGCAAAGTCAAACAGATCTCTGACTTTCAGACCAACCTATCCTATATACATAGTTTTAAGACAGAGCTATACTGTGAAACACTGTCTCCCAAAAAATAAATAAAAATGCCAAGTATGCATAACTAGAAAGCTTCAAGAAAACTGAAGGGAACTATTGAATGATTATGAGTTCTGCAGATGAAGCAAATTGAGAAAGGATCACTCTGGCTTAAGCTATGCAGCATGCAGAAGCATAAAGAAATCTAACTTTCATTAGAGAAAATTTTAATCATAAAAACAGTAATTACAAATGTTGCATTTGCTTGAAGGAAATTAAAATATATTTAAACCTCATTCAAAATATAACAAGATAATTTTCACACATAATCCTTATTATTATTAATAATCAATAATCATGTTACTCTAAATGTGGTACTGAACAGGACACTAAAGTGCCCACCCCATATGAGGTGGATTTCATGAAATCATTGCCTACTTGCCATCATTTCAAAATGCATGTAATTTAGAAAAATTTATAGCCCCATTCATGGCTTAATACCATATACTAGTAACCAATCAGTATAAAAGCATTAAACATCTAGACCACATGACTCTAAACATAAGTAAACTTATGTGCCATATATCCCATGTTCCAAATCTGGTCTGTGAAACTATTCAGAGTACTCAAATTTCTTCTAAGTAAACCTTATACCTGGATAAAAGCATGAAAGAAATACAAGACATTTTTTAAATGTCAAAGAAAGAGTGCTAGCATGCAAGGCCAGTCATTTACCAGAGGTTAAGCAACTACAGCATAAGGATGAAAAATCCAAACAATCCAAAACAGAAACAAACAAATTTTAACTTCTTTGTAAATTAACTGCATGAAGAACTTTATCTAGTTTATATTACACTGAAAAAATTCATCCAAAAACCATTAAAACAAATTCTATCTTTGTACATTTAATTGTATTTCAAAGACAAAAGAAGTGAATGAAAAATAAGTAACTCACCTTCGGTCTGTTGGGAAAGTCGTGTTTGCAAATCTATAACAAAAGAGAATTCTACAGCTCAGTGCAGGAACAATGAAGAGCCTCAACTAACAGGGTAAATGTCAGGAAAGTATTAATAAAAGAGGACTTCAACAGCAGGGTTTATTAGAATAAACTTAGCAAAACTTGGCAGCAAACCTCCTTCCCCATTCCTCATTGAGAAGGCTTTGGGGCCTTTTGTTGCCTGTCATTCTAGAAAATTATTCACCTTTCCTCCTATTCCTAGTACATCCTTCCCTATCATACATGTGTTGGATTATGATACCACAGCCAGGAATAATGGGAAATGGGGAAAGGGAAGCACACCAGTCAGAAAATATGTGAAAAACCCTGATTGAGAATTCAATTCCAAGTACTTAGAAAATAAGGTTTATTTTCATTAATGGTAATCAGCATCAAGTATATCAGAAGGTTATGCTAAAATGATAAGAGTTAACAACCACACACATAAGTAAGCTAGGACTATGTTCTCTAATTTCCCAATTTAGCATTAACTGAGAAAGATAGCATTGCAACAATGTGGAAATTATACACAGAAGCCGGAGGGGCACATGCCTTTAATCCCAGCACTCTCTGTGAGTTAGAGACCACCCTGATCTACAAGAGCTAGGTCCCGGACATCCTCGAAAGCCACAGAAAATCCTTGTTTTAATAACTCAAAAAATTTCAACTTGCCAAAAAAAAAAAGTGTTGGTGGTACATGCCTAAAATCCTAGCACTCAGTAGGAAGAGGCAGGAGGATCTCTGTGAGTTCGAGACCAGCTTGGTCTACAAGAGCTAGCTAGTTCCAGGACAACCTCCAAAGCCAGAGAAACCCTGCTTTAAAAAAATGAAAAATTATAGAAAACAAAAGAAATTTCAAATTGCTAACGACTTAAAGCACAGGTTATCAATTTGATTAAAGTTCATTCTCAGACCTACTATGAAAAAAATTATTGTTTCTACCCAGGAATGCATGTTCAACAAATCTGCCATCTGCCATGGCAAGTCTGTATGAGCTGAGACCCAAATTCAAGCAGTTAATAGCTGGAGCCACCAGCAACAGGTCAGTGTGATCTACTAGCGTATTTCAGAACTGCCAGGGCTACATCACAGTGAAACCTTGTTTCAAGCAACAAAACAAACTTGTGTATTTCTGCAAAGCTACCATAGCTAATAAAAACAACAGAATAAAAAATACATAATTAAATCTTAACCCCACATTTGTTGGGTTAAAAGATCTGGGCCCCAGGGATTAAAAACTGGCATTAGCAGTGATGAAGGAATGTATGTATACTAAATGAACTTGAAGATATTAATATAGAGCCACTGTCAGTAACTTTTAAAGACAAACTCTCTTCCTCACCTAATAGGTAAAATGTATCCATCAAAGGCTGACGTTATTAAATACCAATGCCAATTATAAACAACTTTGGAGTCAGGTGGTGGTATTACACACCTTTAATCCCAGCGACTCTACAGAGCAACTGTCATGAAAGGCTCCAATACTACAGAGAAACCCCATCATGAAAAACAAATGAACAAGAACAACAACACAAAAACTTTAGCTACTTCTAATACATTAGGAAACAAGGCACCTTGTTACACAAAGAACATTAGAACAGTTGTATTATCTAAGGATGATGGAACAGTCCTTAAATCTCAGCACTATGGAAAGGCAGAATTAAGTTCAAGGCAGGGCTGGAGTGATGACTCAGCAGTTAAGAGCAAGGAACCACATGGTGGCTCACCACCACCTTGAATATGATTTGGTACCATCTTCCGGCCTGCAAGTCACATATAGGAAAAACCCCGTACACATAATAAATCTTTAGCAAAAGCTGCATAAGGTACTTTAATGACAAACTGGGCTGTATACACAAGACTCTAAAGGCCTGCTGTACCTCAAAATAAAACTGTGTGGGACAAGGCTCTGTGATACAGAGCAAGACTGAGGCCCTGTGTCAATAATGACAATCTGGATAGAATGCTTTTATATATATATGAGAAGGAGGCAACCCTGACTGCCTACAGTTGGATCTCTGAATCATGCATGTATGGTGGAAGGACAGAGCAACACAGGTAAAATGGCTCAGATATCCACACAGAGAAATAAATTATCTAGCCTCAAGCAAATAAATGAAACTAAAACAAAAAGATACCTGCTCCCAAAGTGAATCTCTTTAAATGTGTCTGAGAATTTTTGCCTGGATGTATGTCTGTGTAACATGGGTATTCCTACTGATTCTGGGGTGAGAAGTTATCATTTCTCCTGGAATAGGAGTTATATATAGTTAACTGTGAGCCATCAGGTGGGTACATAGAGTAGCCAATCCTCTTATGCCACCATGAAGCACCTACATCTAACAATTTTGCTAACAATAACCACAATAAATCATCGTGAGGGTTAATAATAGACATCTTATTCAGGAGATAGCATGCTACACCACAGGTTGTCCTGGAACTCATTGTTGTAGGAGAGTGAGAAGGCCTTGCCAAACTTTTCCTATGTCCACAGCCTGCATGTTGAGAAACCATGGCAGGGTTGAACCACCTTTTCACAGGGTCACCTAAGCCTATCAGGAAATGTACTTATTTACCTTACGATTCGTAACAGCAAAATCAGTTATGAAGTAGGAAACACAAAATTATATGGGTCAACACAACATGAATAACTGTAAAAAAGGCCATAGCAATAAGGTAAAAAACCCCTGCTCTAGTGAAAAACCCACAACTTAATTGAGCATTTTTATTTTCAAATGAAAATTTGACCTTGAAAGAAGGGAAGTAACAAATGGAACAATTTTCAAGTTAAATCTTTGCTTATTTTTGCTTGGAGTTGGTGGCACACGCCTTTAATCACAGCACTCAGGAGGCAGAGGCAGGCAGATCTCTGAGTCCAAGGCCAGCCTGTCTACAGAGTGAGTTCCAGGACAGCCTCCAAAACAAAACAAACCCTGTCTTTGGGGGGAAAAAAACAATACTTGCTTATTTTTGGTGATAGAAATTCTACAAAGTCCCTGATAGCCAAGAGCTCAAAACATAAACCATGCTGGTTTCACCTCCAAATTACTAGGTTTTGTTGTGCACTGCCACATTTGGCCAACTGGCTTTTTTGGTTGTTGTTTTGGTTTAGGTTTTTTTTTTGAGACAGGGTTTCTCTGTATAGCTTTGGCGCCTGACCTGGAGCTCATTCTGTACACAGTTGGACAGGAACTAACATCCACCTGTCTCTGCCTACCAAGGGCTGGCATTACAGGAATGTGCCAGCATTGTCGTGCTTTATTATTTTTCTAAAGAATTATTATCATCTGTGTTGATGTCAATGTGAATGTATACTCAGAGTTAAATTCATCTTAACATCCCATACTCTAGGAAATTTCTGAATTTAGTTCACGTCAATTACGTAAAGCTGCTTGGTATGACTATTAATTGACTGTAAAACAAACCTTAACAGCTAAGGTTTTAAAATTCAAAAGGAAAACAAAGGTAACAGAAACTTGTGAGAGCTTTCAAAATAGTACTTACAGAAACGCCTCAATGATAACTTTTACCTCTTCATAATTAATTACATTGGCATTGTCTTCAGAAATTATAAGTTGCACCGTAAGATTGAAAATTAGGACAGTTTCATTTTAAAAATAAGTTCTTTCTTGCTTTTAAATGTGTTAAAATATGAAAACAAAGATCACTAACTTCATTTCTTAAGTATGTGTTTACGTCCATTCTGTTGTAGATATCTGCAGGTACCTGCAAAGGTAATGTGGGTAGGGACTGGATAGAGATTTAAATGTAGGTGCTGGGAATTTAACTAAGGTACTTTGAAAGAGCAGTACATGCTTTTAAACTGAAGATCAATCAATCTCAAGCCTCACCCTCATTTGTTTTGGTTGTTTTTCAAGACAGGCGGATTCTTATGTGGAACAACTCAGGTTGTCCTACAATTAGGTTTGTAGAGCAGGCTGGCCTCTAATTTACAGAGATCCCACTGCCTACACCTCTCATGTGTTGGGATTACAGACATGTATCACCCCCACCAAGCCCTTGCACCTACTTTTCTTTTTTTTGTTTTTGTTTATATTTCATTTAATTTTTTGTTTTTTTCTGTGGCTTTGGAGGCTGTCCTGGAACTCACTCTGTAGACCAGGCACCATCGCCCGGTTTGTTTTTTAAATGTACCGTAGGCATGAAACAGCTTTGGCCACCAAATCAGGCATCAAGCCAGGGTGAACAAAGGGCTACTTTTTGCTTTGCCCCTGACTGATATAAGAACACCACCACTCACCAAGGTGTCTCTTTGCCCACTGCTAGGGAGTTCAACCCTACTTCTTAATAGCAATATAAAAATGTATGTTTTAGATAGCTTTATATATAAGCAGATTCAGTAATCAAGTATTCAGGTCTGTTTTCATATTAAGATTACCACTAATCTAAAATTGAACATGGTCTTACTTTCTAGAAGAAATTACTATTATAATTTCTAAACATCTGTGTTTAAAAACAGGGTCTGACACTGCAGAATAGGTTGGCCTGGAAATCATGGTAATGCCGTCTGAATTTTTTTCCAAAGTTGTTAGAGTCCTTATGATCATACCTAGCAAAAGTATCATATAGTTCTAAGACATATCAAAAAACAAGTATTACCCCAAGGTCATAGATGTAGGACAATGTCAATTTCATTTTAGAATTCAATAAATTTGTTTGCATACAACTTTTGCCTCCATGCACACGTCTGCACATCTTGTGTACCTGTGCTGCCAAATATAAGAAGACATAGATGTGCCAGTACTGGAGTTGTTATGCGCTTGTGAGCATAAACACACAAAAAAGCTTTTCCTCTCCTAAGTTGCTCTTCTCAGTGCATTTAATCACAGCAACATGAAAAGCAAACAGACAAAAAAACCTAAAAAGGTAGCTTTCCAAGTATTACTGTTAATGCAACAAAGGAAAAGTTAATTTTAACTAACACTGGACTTTTCCTAAACATTAATAGTAAGAATTAAAACTAAAACTTGAGATGATTCCATAGACCTACAGGGCACTTGCTAGAAGTACTTAATGAATTGAATTCTCAGTTAGTCCTTTGAAATGCAAAAAATTTGGCATGTTTTCGAATTAGGTGAAAACAAATGACCACAATTAGAAAAGATTCAATTCCTACCTGCCACAGCACCAAATGCCAAAGAGCCACTCATTTGTAAAGCTTGCTGTGCTGCTGGTGGAATCTGCAAACCTGTACCTGTAAAAGAGTAAGTCTTAAAGTTCTTATGACGTTAATTAGCAGAGAAACAAAATTTTGGGAATAACACCGGGTACTCAACTCATAGGCATCAGCACAATGGTTCGGGATTAAAATCTACTATACCAAGGCTGATTACCTGCAAATTAATCAACATTTCCTACCATTATTCCCTTGAGTGGTACTCTGACCTCTACCCCATGTTGTGTCATGAATATACCCTCGCAACCATCTATAATGAGATCTGATGCTCTCCTCTTCTGGCATGTAGGCACTATGTGTAGATGGATAAAATAGATAAACATTTTAAAAAATTACAATGTACTTCTACAAATAAATAGGAACTCCAAAAGAAGACAATCTGTATACTTTGTAGTTTGCACATTACCTTTCTTTTTCAACACTAAATTCATATATCAGTAATACCATTGAAAACTTACCCTCTGCAAGTCTTGCCATTAATTGAAGACGACCAGTTGTTCCCAAGTCAATTCCAGTTCTTTCTAGTTCATCACTGTCCAAAAACGAACTAGCACTAGAAGCATCGGTTCGTTCAGTAACATGACCAACTTTCATTGGCCTCCCAGCTAGTTCAAATCCATTAAGCTGTTCCAAAGCTTTTTTGGCACATTCTGAGTCAGAAAACTAGAATAGAAAACACAAATTATACAATTGATTAATTTGTATTTATCACTACAGACACAACAATGCCTTCAAGTGCATTCATGTTTTGCCTACATGCATGCTATGTGTGAGGGTGTCAGTTCTCGGAGTTACAGACAGTTGTGATCTGCCAAATGGGTGCTTGGAGATGAACCTAGGTCCTCTGGAAGAGCAGTTAGTATACTGTTATCCACTGTACCATCTCTTGAGTCACCAATATAGTAACTTCATTAAGTCTTTTACACTAATGAGAAACAACAATAAGTATATAAAAATATAGTGTACATGTAAAATCTGACCACAAATTTTACAAACAAAAATGCAAGACAGCTTAAGAAAAGGGGTTTTTTAAGACAAATTCTTAATTTTCAGACAAGGTGTCCTTACATATGTATAGACCTAGAACTTACTATGTAGATCAAGCTGGCTTGAAACTCCTCCCTCCCTTAGCCCCACAATTGCTGGAATTCAATGTGTGTGCCAAAACGCCAAGATCCCTATTTAGTTTTGTAGGTGAATCTGCTTAAGTTGCCAGACTGAAACAGAGTGATAGGCACCTAGAAAAAATTTGTTTCATGATCACCCCAAGAAACAAATCTACCAAAGGTGTTTTCCTTCACATCTCTCCTTTAGTCTCCAGATTTTTCAACGTCCTTTACCTCTTTTTTAATTTTTTGCTTTTAATTCTTAAATCAGTGTGGACGATATCTTGCTGCTCAATGGTACAAAACAGCCCTCTCCTGGGTATACAAGTCTTTATCATCATTCAGCACAGTGAATTTACTTCATGAGACAGCATAGATACATTTTAATAAGAAAATGCTTGAAATAAAATCACAAAGTCAATGAATATTTGACTGTGTAGTCTGCACATCACAATGTAAATGTACGCCAGCTTATTCATGTGAATTTCACTAAGTGATCTTCCTAAACATAGCTGGTGTGTGAAATGTTCCTGCTATTCCAAATGGGCTGCACAGGCAACACCCAAAATACCCTAAGAGATTGGTTTGGTTAGTGATCAGAGATGATCTTTAAAGCAATCGTCCAAGTGATTGTAAAAATCTCTGATGTGGCTGTTCCAGCTAAGTATTATGGCTGTGAAGATTGTATCATATAGTCCTGTGTACAATTTTAGTAGAACATCATCACCTTCTCATTTTTCTTTACCTCTTTCTAAAATTGAAACAGGATCTTGCCAGGCAGTGATGGTGCTCACCTTTAATCCCAATATTTGGGAGGCAAAGGCAACCTGAACAGTGAGTCTAAGTCCAGCCTGGAAAACGATTAAAAAACAAACAAACAGCTGTGCATTGGTGGAGCATGCCTTTACTCCCAGTACTTGGGAGGCAGAGGCAGGCAGATCTGGTTGGTCTAAACAGGTTGAGTTCCAGGACAGGAACCCAGCCAATAGAGAAATCCTGTCTCAAATAAATTAATTAAAAATGAAAACAAAAACACCAAAAAACAAACAACCAGGATCCTTTCTCTTTCCAGGAGGTCTCTTCCAGAGTACATTAAGTCCAGCTGCCAGCATCCATAGTTGCTTAAAAACACCTATAATCACAACTCAAGGTGATCAGATACCCTCTTTTATATCCCCAAGCACCTGTACACATGTAGTGTGTGTTCACACACACACAAAAAAAGGGTGGAATAAAAAACCAGTTGTTGGGCTGGAGAGATGGCTCAGAGGTTAAGAGCACCAACTGCTCTTCCAGAGGTCCTGAGTTCAATTCCCAGCAACCACATGGTGGCTCACAACCATCCATAATGAGATCTGGTACCCTCTTCTGGCATGCAGGCATACATGGAGGCAGGATGTTGTATTCATAATAAATAAATACATCTTTTAAAAAAAAACCGGTTGTTGCCAATCATGGCACTTTGTTTTTTGAGAAAGGTATCTATGCCACGGCTAAGATTTGATGGTAACAACATACATCTCAAAAAAAGGGGGGGCTTCTTTTCTGTGTAACAGCAGCCCTGGCTATCCTGAAACTCGCTTTGCTGTCCAGATAGGCCTGCCTCTGTCTCCAAACTACTAGGATTAAAGGTGTGTACCACCACGCCTGCCATCAATTACAGGATTTTAATTGTGTACTGAAATTACCAAGAAACAAAAACAAAACAACAGCCCAGGGGGGTAAAACACTAGTGTAGCTTATTTGAGAACCTATTTTGGTGCTCAAATAAGGGTGTAGCAGCTTATCAAGGCAAGATCAAGAAAATCACAATATTCAAGTTGCCAATTCATCAACACAAAAAACAGCAACTAGACACCATAGTTAAGACAATATCACCAATAACTTGCTAAGGCATTCACAGATTTTGCTGTAAGACATGAAAATTTTAAAAATGGCAGGTGTGACCTTATGGCTAAATTCTATGACTAGAAGCTCAAGTAGTAAGATCACAGCTCTTCACATTAACCATTAAGAATATACATAGGAATTTGGCATTTTGTTAGTTTGTGCCTTTAACCCCAGGACTTAGGAGGCAGATCAAGCCATCTTATTTTGAGGCCAGCCTGGCCTACTTGAAGTATTCCAGTTGCCACGGTTACACTGAGAGGCCAGTTGTCAAAAATCAACAAATAAATAAACCTTGGGTGGATCTGACTCTGCTAAACTCTATGTGCACCAGCAAGCAAATGCACAAAACAAAATGAATCACTTGAGAAAATACTAACTACTCTTTTTTCCCCAACCCATACACAGTTCAAATATTGTTTATTATGTAAGAGAACTACTTACTGTAATGAATCCGTATCCCTTAGACCGGCCTGTTTCACTATCCATCATGAGCTGAATACTTTCAATCTAAAATTTAAAGGCATAAATTAGGTTATAGTTTTTGGAAATCTAAAATATTCTGTAGCCTTATACCCCAACCCCAAAAGTAATGGAAGACATTACAACTATTCTTTGCAAGTAAAATTTTCAAAGCCTAGATTTTTTTAAAATTTGCCCACGTTAGGAGGGAAATACAGTGTGGGATTAAGGAAAGAAACAAATACTAAGACTTACCCTTCCGAAAGGCTCAAAGATCCCACGAAGCATATCTTCAGTTATGTTAAAATGTAAGGAGCCCACATAGAGCCTCATAGGTCCAGCACTTCCCTTTTGTAAATTGTTTGCCATTGCTGCAGCTCTATTTTTTTCTGCCTATAAGTTAAGTAAAACCCATAATAAATACTAATGTAAAGTAGGATGTGTCAATGACAGAGGACAAGGATTAGAAAGCTGAAAACTATGAGTAAAAAAAGAAAATGAAGGGCCGGGCGTTGGTGGCACTCGCCTTTAATCCCAGCACTCAGGAGGCAGAGGCAGGCGGATCTCTGTGAGTTCGAGACCAGCCTAGACTACCAAGTGAGTTCCAGGACAGCCTCCAAAGCCACAGAGAAACCCTGTCTCGAAAAACCAAGAAAAAAAAAAATGAAATCTAACATTGATTTCTAGGAAGCATTTAAAATAGACAAATCTAGCCAGGCTGTGGTGGTGTACGCCTTCAATCCCAGCACTCAGGAAGAAGAGGCTGGCGGAGTTCTGTTAGTTCAAGGCCAGCCTGGTCTTGAAGAGCTAGTTCCAAGACAGCCTCCAAAGCCACAGAGACACTATCTTGAGAAAAAGGAAAAGAAAATAGACAAATCTGTAGAAAGCGTTTGCCAAGAACTAGTGGAAAGGGAAATACTGTGATTGTCATTAATGGCAGTAAATTGAATGGAAGGGTGGTGCTATAGTACATTACCTTCTGTGTGAGCATTCTATCACTGAGCTACATCCATGACTCTAAATTTTACACCCAATAGGTGATATGTCAAATGTTATATTTTATAATTTTAATAAAGTTTGAAGTATACTCAAAATTCATACCTATATGTAATAACTATAACACTTAAACCAAGCCAGGCGGTGGTGACACAAGCTTTTATTGCCATCACGTGGGAAACAGAGTCCAGCCTAGTCTACAAAGCCAGTTGTAGGATAGCCAGGACTGTTATACAAAGAAACCATATCACAAAGGAAAAGAAATTAAAGCAAAATAACTTGCTTTGTGATATCACAACCAGTGATAAGTACAAATAACTGGCTGAGTTAAGAACTTAATATCAGACATACCACAAGATGAGGTTGAGAGTTTAATTAATGTCCTATAAAACCATGACTAATTTAGAAATAAGGTACAAGAAGAACCATATACATAAAGTCACCTAAAGAAAGCATGGCTATTTTGTCTCTATTAAGACCTTTTAATAGTATTTTTTATGTGTGATCAAAATGCAGCAGGTGACTTGTAACCACAGCTGAGCCATCTACATTACATATTCTAGTAACAAACTGCTATAGAGGCATTATTTCATCATTGACCAGTAATTTCTGCACAAGATTTACAATGATGTAAACTATAATCTCACTGATGCTACTTCATAGGTCTGTTAACAAATAATTTAGTCCATGCTGAGTCAAACAGATTGCAATTCTCCTGCCTAACCCTCCTAAGTACTGACACTGATGCATATGCTGTGACACCCAGTTCAATGACCAATTTCTAAATCAAGAAGTTACCTGTGAGGCCTGTACTATAATTGGCACTCCTAAAACACGTTGGCCAGTTAATCCAATTGCTAGAGGAACTGAACTAACATCAACAAATTCCACATAGGCGATTCCTTTGGAACGTCTTGAATTTCTATCAGAAATCATCCTCACATCTCGAACCTAAAATGAAAAGAAATATAATTACTCTGTAGTCAAATAATGCATGTAATTATTTCAAAATGTACTATGTCTTCAGAAACACTGTCTCAATCAATACATGCCCTCAGGGTTAAACTTTGTTGTGTAGGATCTGACTAGCCTAAAATTCACATAATTCTGCATAACTCTGCCTTCAGAATGCAAAGATTAAATACCAAGTCAATGGGGGTGTTGGCACATGTCTTTGAATACAATACAAGGAAATCCACTCAAGTGGATTTGTGAGTTTCAGGTCAGCCTGCACTACACAGTGAATACTCAATAATAAAGATAAGATGTCAAAGCCAGGCGTTGGTGGCGCATGCCTTTAATCCCAGCACTCGGGAGGCAGAGGCAGGCGGATCTCTGTGAGTTTGAGGCCTGCCTCCAAAGCTACAGAGAAACCCTGTCTCAAAAAAAAAAAAAAAAAAGATAGGATGTCAATATTTATGTCCATCTCGTGTGAAAACTTACATTATTCTATCTCAATAATAGGATTACATCATCAAAGACCTGCTCCTAAAATAATAATAAGGGAGGACAGGCAGTTGTGGTACATACCTTTAATGCCAGCACTTGGGAAGCAGAGATAGGCCAGCCTGGCCTACAGAATTGAGTTCTAGGACATGCCCCAAAACTCAGGTTATCAGGTAGTGGTTTAGGATACCTTATTATATTGGCAGATGTTCTGAAACTACAAATCTCAAACACTCCTCCCTTAATTTCAAGAGTAGCCAGGGTTGTAATAATATTACATCACATCCATGGTGCCCCTTGGTATTTTCTTTTTTATGAATAAGTTTCTTTTAAGAAATCTAATGCAATCATAGCTTAAACCCCAAAGTAGGCACATATAGTATAAAAGATGTGTGCTGTGAATGGTCTGAAGCTGCACAATGATAAGCAGTGATTTTGGTTTAACCTTTTGTCCAGATTGAAGACCCAGGCACTTTTGTAATTATGATAAGTGTCTTCCCACTATTTTTATAGGAACCAATTTTTTTCTTTTCTGAGATAGGGCTTCTCTGTGTAACAGCCCTAATTGTCCTGGAACTAGCTCTGTAGACCAAGATGGCCACTAACTAGAGATTGGTCTTCCTGTGACTCCCAGTTGCTGGGATTAAAGGCATATGCCAGGCGCCCCCTTTCATTTTTATTAAAATGTACAAAATTACCCATTATCCTTCATTACATTCCAAAATTGAAGCTAAGTCCCTACTGCTGATGACACAAGCATAATGTATGGAAATAGGACTTGGAGGAATTCAGCTGAACTGACCTGGAAGCCTCTTCCCTGAGGACTAGCTCTCATAGTACTGGAAGGTGCTTATACAAGCTGCCAAGGGAGAAAAGCAATCAATAGTCCTACCCTGCTGTGACACCTACAAAACACAATGATGATCAACAGGAAGATTTCCCAAAAGGTGCAATGTGGCACTTTTATATTGAGGATTACCAAGAAGTGTCTAAGTGAACTAAAGCTGACTAAAGAATTCATAATTCATTCCTATAATATAAACTTACTTAACTGCCTATGTCTGTTGAAGGCAAAGATATAACAAAACCTAGTAAGGCCAGTATAATTTGAAGTCACATTGTAAATATCTATCCTTACATCCACCAATAAGGGTAGCTAGCTCCCTCACCTCTCTCAAAGCCTTTGGCAGCAAATGAAGACCATTTCAGGATGCACCCAATAAATCATGGTGTGTCCAGGCCCAAATGATACATCTACAACACATTCCTATACGAAAGGCTCAGAGATCATCATGGAAAAGTGGTAATAAAGATATATATGACAGGGAAGCTGGACTCAGGAAATGTCCCAAGGTGGTCAAGGAGGACAAGCAGTCTTCTCCAAATAAGGACCTAATTGCTTACCCAAAACTAAGCAGTCAACTCAAAGCTATTCATTTACAGCAAGTTATTATTTATAATATGTGATTGATAAGATACATAGATATTAAGCAATAAGTTTTAAATATATGACACATTTGGCCAACAAAGTCTTGCCTTTTTTGGGGGAAGATAGGATTTCTGTCACTTTACCTGCCTCTGCCTTCTGAGTAACAGGATTAAAGGCATGTGCCACCACAGCCATTCCTTTTTCTACACAATGTATGTGAAGCCCTGGCAGTCCTTGAATTCAACTTACTTGTTTAGACTTAAGGTATATGTCACCATGCCCAATCATACTGACACTAATTATTAAATGTGCGAACTCACCAGGGCGCACGTCTTTAATCCCAGCCCAGTACAGGCAGGAGGATCTCTGTGAGTTAGAGAACAGCGTGGGTACAAAAGCTAGTTCCAGGACAGCCTCCAAAGCCACATAGAAACCCTGTCTCAAATAATCAAAAAGTGTGAACTCACTTCTACTAACTTAACAGTCTGTTGTAAATGGGGAGTTACCTTTCCTACTGTAGAGAAAAACTCTTCCAAATCCCTTGGTCGAATTCTTGCTGCCAGTTGCATGCAGAAAACTGTCCTTGCATCCCTTTCCTCAGGAGTTAGATTATCAATAGGTTCCCTAAAAGAAGAATACAAAATTATTGCTGCAACATTTTTTAGTAGGAGACATGATTCTTTTATCATGGGTAGCCTCAAATTCCAGTTTTTTATTTTTGTTTTTTGTTTGACCCTAACATGTTTGACATTTCATATGGAAGTGTAGCACAGTGGTACAGCACTTGGATAGCAGGATTCCATCTACAATTTTACAACAAAACTATCCACTGATTTGTTGGTGAACTTTAAAGACGTTTTTCATTAATTATATAATAGTGTACAGAGAGAGTTCAAGACAGGGATTGGGTTGCTCTGGCTCTCCTGGAACTCTCTCTGTAGACCATGCTGTTGTCTAACACAGATTTGCCTTCCACTGCCTCTTAAGTGCTGTTGTTAAAGGCATGAGGTACAGGGTTTCTCTGTATTGTTCTGGAGGCTGTCCTAGAACTTGTGCTGTAGACCAGGCTGGCCTCAAACTCACAGAGATCTGCTTGCCTCTGCCTCCCGAGAGTGCTGGGATTAAAGGCGTGTGCCACCAATCCTTGCTGGCCTCCTTTATATTAGTACTGAAATGTATATTAATAATTACTTCAGTACTCATGACAGTGTAGTTTGTCTAACCTGAGAGCTACGGGACAAAAATCTCCAGAAGTGCATATATATTAAAAACATGTAGCACAGATGCAAGAGTGCTTTCCTAACATGCATAGAATTGTGAGCTTCATGCCTAGTGCTTCATAGAAAGGTTTACAACCTAAGTGGTAAAAAACAGGACGATGAGAATTTTAAGGTAAGGGTCTAAGAGATGACTTAGTGATTAAGGACACTTCACTTTTTACAGAAGATCTGGATTCGGTTTCATGGCAGCTCAGAATCATCTGCAATTCAGGTTTGAGGAATCTGATCTCCATAGGCTGCTGCATGGATATTTTTTTTTTTTCGTTTTATGAGACAGGGTTTTTCTGTATTGTTTTGGAGGCTGTCAGTCCAGCCCGGCCTTGAACTCAGAGATCCGACTGCCTCTCTGCTTACCGAGTGCTGCGATTAAAGGCGTGCGCCACCACTGCCTGGCTGCTGCATGGATTTTATGCTTGTATACCTCACAAACACAACACAAGTGAAATGAAAAAAAAAAGTTTAAAGATCATCCTTGGTTAAATTAGGAGTTTAAATCTGGCAGTGGTGGTGTTGCCTTTAATCCCACAGAATAATTGAGGTTTTCTTACAAGTAAACAGATTACTAATGATGCTACAATAGCTGGGGAGTGATAAAGTACACAACCATGACTTTAACCTCAGTTAAGTAGAGGTCTAGTATACACATAGCATGTTGTAAGTGAGTGATAGCTAAAAAAGGATATACCCTGTCTTAAAAAAATAATTCAGGGCTGGAGGGATGGCTCTGAGCTAAAGAGCAGTAACTACTCTTATAGAGGTACTGAGTTCAACAGCCAACAACCACATGGTGGGTGGCTCATGGCCATCTATAATGAAATCTGATACCCTCTTTTGGTGTGCAGGCATACATGGAGACAGAACGTTGTACACATAACAAATCTGTAAAAATAAATGAAATTAACTGTAAATACTCCCCTTAAGGTCAACCAGGTTATTTAAGTATGCACCATATGACAAAAATGTAAATTATATAATTTAAAACTTACTGAGGAAGAAGATATAATTCAAGGAACATTCATAATTATTACATAAATTTAAAGCCGGGCGGTGGTGGTGCATGCCTTTAATCCCAGCACTCGGGAGGCAGAGGCAGGCGGATCGCTGTGAGTTCGAGACCAGCCTGGACTACCAAGCGAGTTCCTGGACAGCCTCCAAAGCCACAGAGAAACCCTGTCTCGAAAAACCAAAAAAAAAAAAAAAAAAAAAAAAAACCAAAAAAAATTATTACATAAATTTAAAATGTTTGTTTACGAAACTTTATAAAAATTTAAAACGGGGTTGGCCTCCAAAACAATACAGAGAAACCCTGTCTCAAAGAACCAAAAACAAAACAAAAAAACATTAATACAAGGAAAATAAGTCAACGTCAACAGTTACCTCACAGGGCTCTTGTCTTTTCTGAATGGACTTTTGCTTCGGGAACGTCTTCTGCTGCAAGGATAAAAAGTTTCACAAGTTACCCAAACAAGTAAAATCTCATTAGTTCCTTGAAAAACAAATTAAGCAATTCAGAAGTATGTTTAAAAACCTTAATTTGATGCTATGAGGCAACCCAATCTTTCCTCGGATGGCACTGTTAAATTTTGGTCCGGAGCTAAAAAGAAAACACAAAATTACACTAGTTACAGGTTTAGGGTCTTGCTAAGATCAAGTTCATGGGCTCTCCAGCAAGTCTAACATTGTTTAGGCTGCTTCTTTTCTACCTCACCTATAACGAGGAAACAAAAGAACTTAGAGCTGTAGCCCTTGTATTTATCTATCCTGGACCAGTTAGAGGTGCCAAGAACAAAAGTTACAGCCTCAAAATTTTCTCATTCTAAAAAATCCATTACTCTATTTTAAGGTAAGTTTTCAACTATTTAATTATGAACATGCATCTTTAAAATATAGTAGAGTAAAAACAATGCTTCTGAACTCTCATCCCAGCATCAGTTTACTATGCAGTTCTTTCTTGAAAATATATGTATTCATATGTAGTGAAGAATGACCAAGAACTCCTGCTCTTACATTGTCAACTTCCGGGAGTGACAGGATCAGTATTGAATCTCTGAGTCATCAGTCATATAAAGAATTGTTTCCAAAATAAAAGTATGCATCTTTGTATATATGCGTATAATATCTGGAAAACTGTGTTCCATGTAATTCATCCTTTTTGCTGGTACACACACACACACACACACATCCATGTAATTCATCCTTTTTGCTGGTGTACACACACACACACACACCCAGGCCAGCCTTACAGAGAGATTCTACCTGTCTCTGCCTCCTGAGACCTGGGATTAAAGGAATGTTCCACCACACTCACTTAAATTTCTTTCTTTATTTGATGTATATGAGTGCTCTATCTTCACATACACCTTACGGCAGAAGAGGGCATCAGATGCCATTAGAGATGGTTGTGAGCCTACATGTAGTTACTGGAATTTAAATAATAGCCAGTGCTCTTAACTGATGAGCCATCTCTCCAGCCCCCTCTTTTAATTTTTTTAAGACAGAATCTCAGTATGTAATCCTAGTTGGCCTGGATCTCAAAAAGCCTGTCTGAGCCAGGTGTTGGTGGCGCAAGCTTTTAATCCCAGCACTGGGGAGTCAGAGGCCAGGGTGGTCTAAAGACGAGTTCCAGGACAGCCTCCAAAACAATGCAGAGAAACTGTCTCAAAAAAAAAAAAAAAAAACCAAAAACAAAACAAAAAAAAGCCTGTTTGTTTAGTGCTAGAATTAAATGCATGTGTCACCATGTCCAACTCTCATGCAATAATTCTTTTTATTATTTTATGTACATAGCGTTTTGCCTGCATGTATGTGAGAGTGTCAGATCTTGGAATTACAGACAGTTGTGAGTTACCAAGTGAGTGCCTGGAATTGAACCTGGGTCCTTTAGAAGAGTAGCCAGGGCTCTTACCCACTGAGCTATGTCTGCAGACCCCATTTTATATATGTATATGGGAGGGAAGGAGGGAGGGAGGGAGAAAGAGAGAGAGAGAGAGAGAGAGAGAGAGAGAGAGAGAGAGAGAGAGAGAGAGAGAGAGAGAGAGAGAGAGAGAGAGAGAGAGAGAGAGAGAGAGAGAGAGAGTTTTTTGGCCTTTTAAGACAGGGTTTCTCTGTATAAGTTTGGAGGCTGTTCTAGAACTCACTTTGCAGAAGAGGCTGACCTCAACTTTACAAAGATCCACCTGCCTCTGCCTCCCAAATGCTAGGAATAAAGGTATGCGCCTCCACCGCCTGGCAAAATTCTTAGATTTATTATTAGCACATTTAATGCACTACATCCTGTTTTTATAGAAAATGATAGGTGATTTTATTTACTTATTCACCTATTTAAACTCACTCTTTAGACCAGGGAGGCCTCAAACTTATAATAGTAACATAAGGCTAGTTAATCCAACAGAAATTTTTTGAGAATTTTATAATTCTAAGACAACTTCCAGTACTAAAATGTGTCTCCCTAGCCTGATACTACTATTGTAAAACACAGTAGGAAGTAACTTGCTAATAATACAATTTGGTTTTTTGTTCCCTTTTAAAGGTAAAATTTAATTAAAAGGGTCATATGGTATTATGTTCTTTAGTGGGCAATTATAGTTGTAAAATAACCATCACGGTTCCTTAATTTGGCTAGGTAAAATAAGTGGAAGGGTCTGTTATCCATTCTTCCATAACTCAAAAAAATTTTTGGCCAAAATATAACCAAGCAGTTTCACGTAAAATTCATCTGTCCCGTCAAATTTAAAGTTCATGAATGAGTGTTCTGTATGTGTGTATGCCTGCACACCAGAAGACAGACCATTAGATCCCACTGTAGAGTCACTATGTGGGTGCTGGAATTTGAACTCAGGACCTCTGGAAAAGCAACCAGTTACTGTCATATGCTGAGCCATGTTCTAGCCCCCTCCCCAATTTTTTTTAAGATAGGGTACATATGCCTGACTTGGCTTGAAATTCACTATTAATGGGGACTTAGCTGTGATCTTCTTTCTTTTTAACCCCTGATAATTACTGGAATCAATGTTCATTTAATTATATAAATGTAATTTTATCACTTATATTTATCTTATGTACATTGGTGTTTTGCCTGCATGTATGTCTATGTGAAGGTGTTAGATCTTAAGAGTTACAGACAGCTGGGCGGTGGTGGCGCACACCTTTAATCCCAGCACTCGAGGCAGAGGCAGGCAGATCTCTGCCGGGCTGGACCGACAGCCTGCAGAACAATACAGAGAAACCCTGTCTCGTTAAACCAAAAAAAAAAAGATTTACAGACAGTTGTGAGCTACCAGGTGGGTACAGGGAATTGAACTAGGGTCTTCTGGAAATGTCTGCTCTTAACTACAGAACCATCTGCCTAGCCCCATAAAAAATATTACAAGCTATTTTATCTCCCTTCTGTTATAAATAATACAGAATAGTATTTGAGTCAGGGTATCACTATACACCCCTGACTGACCTGGAAATGCACATGTAAACCAACTCAACTCTGTGACAGACTACACAGTTCATTGAAACTCAACATCAATTTCAATAAAGTCTGACATGGATAAGAGTCAGGTACACACAGACCACGCAGACACTCACATACCACTCATCCATACTCTGTAAACAGTATTGTAAAGAAAGGGTTTCTCTGTGTAGCTTTGTAGGTCAGGCTGGATTGAAGAGATCCACCTGCATTTGCCAGCCCAATCTACAGATCAAGTTGTAGGAAGGGCTCCAAAGTAATACATAGAAACCCTGTTTGTGTGTGTGTGTGTGTGTGTGTGTGTGTGTGTGTGTGTGTGTGTGTGGTGTGGTTTTTAAAGACAGGGTTTCTCTGTGGCTTTGGTGGCTGTCCTGGAACTCACTCTGTAGATCCGCCTGCCTCTGCCTCCCGAGTGCTGAGATTAAAGGTGTGTGCCACCAATGCCCAGTGAAACCGTTTTCAAAAACCAGAGAATGTACAGTAAGTAACTCTTGAAGTAACAATTAAATTTCTAATATAGATTCAGCATTAAAATACCATTATGTCTCCAGTAATCATCATGTAACATCTATAAAATAAGCAACTAGAAGGACCCTGAAACCTATATGGGAACCATCCACAGACTCAGGGCACACATCAAAGAGCCAGAACCCAAACTCAAGTGTCTTCAGTTAATACCAGCATCTCACAAACCCCAGTATACTTGAGTATTTTGTTGAGCATCATCATTGCTAGCTACGTCCAAGTGTATTCCTTAACAAAAATGTAGGGGTTGATTCAGTTCAGTGTCTTTGAACTCAGTTCTTAACTTCAATATTTAGAATTAAACGTTGGTTAAGGGTAATACTGCTTTCATAGAGTTCCTGAGTTCAGTTTCCAGCCCAGCACTCACTGGTACCACATAAGCAGAAATACATTTAAGTGATTTACATGTGTGTGCTCAGTAATGAACTGAGAACTTAGGTAAGCATTAAGAAAGGACTGTGTTTCTTTCAATCCTTGCTTAGAAATGCAATTTCTTTCTAAAATAGAGGTGAAAATTTCTTTCATATGTGCATTGGTGCTTTTGCCTGCACATGTCTATATGAGGGTATCTGAAGCCCTAGAAACAGCCATGTGAATAGTGAGGGTGAATCTGTATCCTCTGGAATATAAATTAGTACTGCTGTTGCTAAGCCATCTCTCTAGCTCCAGGAGAATTTTATTCAGAGCTATAAGTGATGTCATCTTCAATTTTTTTTTTTCTGAGACAGGGATTCTCTTTGGCTTTGGAGGCTGTCCTGGAACCCAATCTTGTAGACCACCCTGGTATTGAACTCACAGAAGTGATGTCATCTTAAATAATGCACGCAAATTTTTTTTGTTGATACTGGGTTTCTCTGTGTAGCTTTGTAGACCCAAGATCTCAGAGAGATCCACCTGCCTCTGCCTCCCAAGTGCCGGTACTAAACATGTGCACCACCATTACCCTGTGCCTGCAGTTTACTCTAAAGCCTTTAAGTACAAATAACTAAGAGTAATGAGCCTAAAAATGCTGCACAAAAATTGATGACGGCTTTCAGCTCATGAGAGCCACAGACAAGATTTCCTACCTGAACTGTACAGTTCAGATACATATTTTTTAAGATGGGTGTTCTAAAAGCTCACACACTTTAGGCTTTCTCTATCAAATACTCAAATGCTTTATTTTGGACTGGCAACCAATCAAATTATTTCAAGCCAGTCAGAAAAGGCTATTCTATTAAGTCCAGCAGTTCCTAAGTTTTAAATAATCAGACCACATAGTATATTTTCACCTTACTAGAGTCAATGTTAGTATCTTTCATTTTAAATCTCTTATTGAAAAACACCATCTCATAATGCGACCAATTAAATTGCTATCTAAACACCTGCAACCAAAGTCTTAATTATTTACATACTAGGGACTTCTGTAGCGGCCTCGGAATCTTCTATCTCGACTTCGTGAGCGGCTTCGTCTCCTTTCTTTGCTTCTGCTTCGTTTCCGTTCACGGCTTTTGCTCTTTTTCCTTTCTCTATCTCTACTTCGCTTCCGTTCCTTACTTTTGCTCCTCTTTCGCTCATGACTACGACTTCTGCTCTTGCTTTTTTTTCTCCTGAGGGGGGAGGAAAAGTAACATTATCATGCTGGTTTAAATACTAAGCAAATATATTCTTCCTTTTATGGTCAAACGTTTATCCTTTTGTAAATGTATTTTAACCATTGTACAATGGAACAAAATCGTACTGTAGGAAAAACAATTCCTAGGCATGGGACATAAGACCCCAACCTTTACTTCATGTTAACTGAAGACAGTCACAAAAATGAGAGACAGGTTTAAGAAGAAGAATTTGCAATCATCTCCTGAGGCAGCTACAGCTTGAAACAAGAACAGGACTTGCTGGTAAGTAGAAACCAAATCTTGACTTCAAAAACAATTTAACTGCCATTTCCATTAACAGACCATTGAGCAAAGAGTAATAGAAGTTACAGAATGTTCACATTTAAGAAATAGCAAATGTCATGTGAAAAATTTCCATACAATTTAGTTCAAGTCAATTTTGACACAATGTATACACGTAAGAATAGTTGAACTTTCAAACACCATATACATAGCATTTTGGTTTTTCATAGGCAAAATTACAAGAAATGATAAAGGACATTAAGAATGCAGTAAAATTCACTTTCACAACCCCAGATTTTACTGTGACCATTTTTAAGGTTCCACTTTAAGCTATAATAAAAATGGAAAATGCCCTTTTAAAGCTAGTCTATACAAGCCTGTAGGTCGCAATTAAAACAACTTGACCTTCCTTGGAAAGTAAAAATCGCCCATCAGTTATCTTCCCACTCATTTCTGTGTTCCTCACACTATTTCAACCACTAGTTTAATAATGAAACCTTGAAATCTGTTCCTCTGTCATCACCCAAATTAGAGGTGCCTTCAGATATTTCAATGTAAATGAAAGACATTTCAAAATAAATTTATTCCACCAAAATGTCCATTTTTAAGTGGTTTGTAGTCTGAACATTTTGACAACTCTACATCATTAGGAAAATTAGCTATTTAATCTTTATCAAAGCAAAGTTAGCACAAGAACAACTGAGGTATGCCTCAGGGAACCTGTAAGCAGGTCATCTTAGAGTGCATTGAAAATAGAAAATGAAGACACCCACCTTCTGGAATCTTGAAACCCACACTCCAATCACAAGGAGATGTAGAGCTTTCCAAGGAGGCAGAAACTTTGTCTAAAATTTCAAGATAATCCACCTGACTGTCAGAAATATGCTAGGTAGCACATGACAGAAAATTAGGCTACACTCATTTATATAGAAGTCAAAGCAACTCCAACGCTCAAAAGGGCAACAATTAACATTCCAGCTTTGATGTTTCAAACCCTGACACTATTAGGAGTAAAGAATTCTGAGATGGCTAAAACTGTACATCTTACAAAATTAGGGGACAAGGTAAAAATCAATTCCATTCCCCCTGGGAAAAAAAAAAAAGACAGTGAGTTTTTGCTCTGCTCAAAGATGGCCCATAGCAGAATCAATCTGCCTATTTACCTTTCATAGGTCCCCAATCTTATTCTGCCAAAGGAACATAAAAAAATAACTAAGAGAGCTAATATTAACTCAATGTCTTGCTAGACTTTTCATAACAAATCCCCACCCACATCTGAAGGCAACCCCAGATAGGTAGTAGACGACATACTAAGATATCAGAAAATGCAATTTTCCATATAAACGTCCAGACAAAAGATAAATGTTGCAAGAAACAAAAATACTTCTCTAGAGTAAATTCCAGCGTTAAAAAACATCATCAACTAAAGAAATGGTTATAAAAAAAATCCATCCTAATAGTCAAATCCTGTTACAACTTAAATGGGACTTTCCAAAGTCTTTAGTGGCAGTGGAATTTGTACTGAACATCATTGAAGTAAATGGTCCACTGGGCCTTTGGACTTTTTGGTTATATGGCCTCTGCTGTAAAGGTGTTTTGCTATAACTGGATTTGACCTCTTCCATGTAAGAAGATCTAAATTTTAAATGCAAAGTATTCTGGAAAATAAGAAAAAAAATAGAAAAGTCATTTATTCCAAAATTTGATAATCCACACCACAGTAGCCAATATATTTTAACTGTGTCATTTTACTGTTATCCTCTTCTAAATGACTCTTTAAAGACTTTAACAAAATGAAGTTTGATTTGAGACTGCAAAACTTGTTACAGCAACATACTTCCATGAGGAGGAACCTCAAGTACTTTCATCGAGTTTACTGGAGGCCTTGACAAACTCTTCAGTGTTACAACTCTTCACTTCAGAAATAGGCTAACAGGTTGTTATTTCAAATGTTTATCCCTTTACTACTGGGATATGACACCGTGCGTTCGTCACAAGTCAGTTACAATTTTTAAACAAGAGTTTATATACACGTCTAACTTTGTCAGAATGTGCAGTTTCTTCTTCTTTCTACCTTAGCACCAATTATCTCCAATTCAATACGGTTTTAACATGAGCCATACAAAAATGTTGTGTATCTTAGGTTAACACAAATTATCTTAAAATGAGCAAATATTTCATTTTCTTCCACATTATGTTCAATTAAGTTTTTATGGCATGTTCCTTCAAATAACTAGATAAAAACTTTGTGACTAAATTAGGCAAAGACCTAATTTAACTAAGCTGTAACTAAGGAAGCCTTGAACATCTTGAAGATATTACTGATTAGTTTTTAGGGAAGTCTTCCTTGAAAACACTATGCTAAATTGCCCAACTGACTCGATATGTATCAGACAAAACTACCATGACAAAAAGGAAAAAAAAAAACCCACCATCTTTTATGGAACACATAATGCTCAAATTCCTCATAAAAAGCTTGGTGATTTTAATGAACTTAGACATAGGATTAAAAGTAAAACCTAAAGATATTAGTGGGAAGAAGTGATATTAGCGAACAGCAAAGATTTGCATACAAGTTTATCCTCATCCTTTCCACACTAAGATCAAAATCTTTACTGTTACTAAGTCTGACATCTAAAGTAGTTTTTGTTCTGGGATTTTCTTTTGATCATAAAATCATGAAGCTGAAACTTTAGGAAACCGTTACTTTGGCAAAGGTTAAGAAGGCATGATACCAATCCTGTCAACCTGCTCTCTACATTCATTTTTGACTAGTAGAACCCATTACTGATTCAACCTAATCTTGTACAAGAAAAACTTTCCACAAACCAGACTTGTCTTTGTTCTTAATATTAGTTCATTTTCTATTTTCTACAGGATCTCACTGTGAAACCCAGGCTGGCATTGAATTTATGACCACCATGCCTCTCTTTAAATGAGGGAGTTATAACCCTCCATCCACACCCAACCCACATATTAAAATTAACCCCTTACTACCACATAAAGATTATAAAACCTTGGCTTAGCAAAACCTAAGTAACCCATTGAACAATTTTCTCATCTATTTTATGAAATTGTATCAACCTACCTAACAAAGTTGTTGTGAGGATGACTGAGGTAGTTACTATGATGCACTTTGAGCTCTTAGGAGGAAAAGAGCCAAAAAAGAGTTAAGTGGCTATTTTATCATCATTTTCTTTATTTATTATGGGGTCATGTATGACAGAATATTTTAGTACGGCATCATAAAAATGGGCTAGAACAACTTAATGCATATAACATGACCATATCATGTTAAGAATCACTAATCTTGAAGCTAAATACTAATTTTACAACAGCTGACTGATAGGCTCCAACCTTGTAAATTGGATCCTGTTTAAACTGTTAATGTATCTTTTTGTATATTGTATTCTGTGCTAAGTCTATGGCATGAAGTTCTTATTTCAGGCTACTCATCTAACCCAAATAAATTATATATATATTTTTTTTGGTTTTTTGAGACAGGATTTCTCTTTATTGTCTTGGAGGCTGTCCTGGAACTCACTTTGTAGACCAAGCTGGCCTCGAACTCACAGAGATCCGCCTGCCTCTGCCTCCCGAGTGCTGGGATTAAAGGCGTGCGCCACCAACACCCGGCTAAATTACATATTCTTAACAGCCTCCTTAGATTCACTAGAGATGGCCCAAAAACAATGAATAAAAAAACTTTCATTACTGCTAAAAGGGCCTTTAAGAAGCAAGGAGCATTAATAACTCATAGCCAATTCCTTTAGTGAATGAAGGCAAACAGTATTTTCTATGGCCTTGATTTTATTTGTTTTCTAATGTACCTCTCCTAATTCTATGATTCTTATCACATCTCCAAAAAATTAGGCCGAAGTTACCAAATTAAAACATTATAGAACTCAAGAGAATCATGGGATCCTTGAAGGGCAAAGTGTCCAGAAGGTCTCTGAAACCATATGCTGAAGTCTACATCGCAAAGTCCATAGTTTATATCCTGAAGGACTTTCTCATCTCAAAGGGTATGACCAGTTTTCTAAGAAGCGAAGAAAACCATAGTTTGATGCTTTAGGCACAAGAACACAAGATTTCCACCACAAGAAGTTTAAGACCCACCCTCCCAGGTTCCTTGTTCAAACTTACTTTTTGCTACGTTCTTCATGGCCGTTAGCACTGCTCAACTTGTTCTCATCCTAAGCAAGGTTGATAGAAGAACATCATGAGGACGAAGTGGTAACATTTCAAGTTGTCAAAGGGTAAAGGGAACAGGAATAAGAAAATACAAGATAATTTTAAAACTAATTACTTATTTAGTTTAACATGGAAGGCTATAAAAAAAATTTAGATGGTATGTTTAACCACTTTGTTGCTAATAATTAAGTCATCGAGAAACAAAAATTAAAATCTTTCCACATTAACACATTATATTTAACTTTCTTACATTGTTTAGATAGTAAATAAGTTAACCAGAGTTACAACGTTGAAGTGGTTATTATTTTCGTGAAACATGAAGTCACTGAGTTTTATTCCATGTGCTATTGTCCCTTTTGTTGGTACCATGGCTCTATTTCTGCCTAAGCCCCAAGTGGCCACGCTAGCAGCCAGCCACTATGGATTTCCTGTGACCGATGCCATTCCTGAGATCTTCGCCCATTTCCGTTGGAGGGTTGGGACTGTAAGAGCTTGATGCCACCTCTGTCACACATCTCGCCCTGAAGCAAACAGGGATTCACACTGCTTTAGTAATGTTGACTCCCAAGAACCCAAGAAAAGTTCATTAATAATTCACCAGTCCAGCCTAAACATTTCCTACTTCCATACCTGTTTACATGGAATTACATCCACGTTAAACTAAGACAAGAAACATTAAAAACAGAAAATATATCTTCAAGAGTCTAGCATTATAAATTACACTATTTATAACTATCAGAATTCATCCAAAAGGAACCACATGGTCGTGCTACACTCCAAAACAAATGTATTATTTTTAAATGGTTTAAGCGCAATGTTTATTTCAAAGTTTGAACACATCAGCTATAGTACATCTGCTAAGTTACAAAAGGCTAAGGTTTTTAATACCAGTGATATTGCATGCATACTGCTATTTTCACCACCAAGTGGGGGAAGAATGAAGAGTGTTTACTGTGATACTGAAACGGGTCATATTATATTACTAGTCAAAATAATTCCTTTGTAGTTTTGAGTGTGAAATACTACAGCAGGGCCTAATTAAAAACAAAATACTATGGAGAACAATAAAATAGTCATCAAGTGACTCTAATCTGTGACACTGCCTCTTGCCTTTTGTTTTGGTGGTTTTATATTGTTTTGCTTTGGTTTCTGATAATTTCTATTCAGGGATCCAAGAATTTCAGCAATTATTAACTGAAAAGCAGATCAACACCTGCCTGTTTTATTTAAGGTTCACTCTCACCAGCCTTGTATCTATTTATATAAAATAAATTTTAAATCTCACCCATTTCTTCTTTAAAGGATCGTTAAGATTTACTTGCCACAGACTGGTTATGATTTATTCTTGGACCCCTGCTATTTTCCCAAACCACTACATTCACCTTTTTTGCTATACCAAACTGGAGCTGGTAATTCTTAGTTGAGTCATTTTACCTAGGGGACCACGGTACAGCGATAAGTCACTCAATTACTACCTTATGATTGACAGTTCACACTGGAATCAAAGGTGAATTCATGGGAGTAGAGGTGAGATATCGTTAGGCAAGTCTACAAAGAGAGATAGATGGGCATTTATTCATCACGCTGAAGTGAAACTACTGCACAATATTATTACATCAATAGCATATATTTACTTTTGTAAGTTACACGAATTGCATCTCTGATAAGATAATCAAGAGGGCTCCGGGAAGGTTAGTTTACATTTCAGCAGTAGTTTCGTGAATAATGCTAAATTAAGAAATATATTAAAGTTCACTGGCATGTTTTTCTCACCTTCTTGTAAGGGGCCTCAAGCATCGCTTCAATATCAATATCGTCTGCCATTTTCTCTACACGCCTAGGGAAGAACAAGACAGTCCTGTAAGTAAACAACTACCAATCCGTCTAAAAAGCTTTACTCCGCGGCCTACAAAATTCAAATCTTCAGAAAAGTCCTTTAAAAGCCCTACAATGACTAAAACGGTGCGATGCACGTCAATTCAGGCTTGACTTGGGTAAGCAAACGTGAAGAGCTTCTTCTGTCAAACACATGGGCAGGACCCAACGCCTGCTTTCAAAAGGCAGCCCATGAAGCCCTGAAACCCAACCGGGGAACAAGAACCGCAGAGCTTCCTTCCGCACGGAACCCGCGCTGCCATCTTAGCGGCGGCGGGAGACTCCCTCTGCTGGGAGGGGTTGTGTACCAAGGTAGTATTCGGCAGGCGCCATGTTGGGAGGTCGCGGCCAGCCCCGGCCTCCAAAGGACACATCTTTATCTGCCCGCGGTCCCCAAGGGGGTCCTTGCCACCACCAAAATGCCCACGGGTGCCCTCGCCAAAAACGGAAGGCCAGCCACGGATACGAGAGCGACCTTGCCGAGGAGCCCGCCACCCCCGCGCGCGGCTAAACGCCGCCACAAGCTGCGCTCGGCACCGCGGAGCGCCCCACATCAGAAGAGCGGGCCACGGGCAGTCCGCGACGCCCCGTACCTGTGCGGGCTTCCGCGCGCCTGTGCTCGACTCGGGAAGGCCGCCGCCGCCGCCGCCGCTGTCGCTACTGTTAAGCCCCTAGGCCCAGGCCGCGGTACCGCCCAACCCGAGTATCGGGCCCCGAGGGCGTCTAGGCCCAAGCGAATCTAAAAGAAACAATGGGATTAAAGGAGCCCGCGCGGGAGAGCAGGGCAGCGGCTTTGGCAGCTCAGGATCCACCCCTGCGACAGCGTCGGCTAGCTCCCTGAAATGGCGGCCGCTGCTCCTCCGTACTCACACTCACCAACACACATACACACACACAAACACCCGGGGTCTCCCGGAGCCTCAGCACGGGCTCTCGCGAGAAACTGCCCAGCGTGCCAGACTGGAAAAACGAAAGATCGCGAGATTTCAGGACTGCTCTGGCGACCGTCGCCCAATCTCGTGCAATGATTGCGCCACAGACGGGCCCATTCCCCTCCCCCCTACCATTCGGGAAGGCTTCCCGGTCTTTCCCTCCCCCAACAAGATATGCATCGAAATCTCGCGATATTACGCCGTCTGTAGAGCAAAGACAGTTGGTGCACTGTCTGTCAATCTTCGGAAGAATGCCTTCCTTAGTGGAGCTTTGCTGTCCTCCTCGCGGAGTGTGAACCTTTCCCCCCCTATTCACAGCCGACCTCCCCCGACACCCGCCTCCTACCCAGATGGCTGTCAAGGTCGCCATAAGGCAACCAATTATAGTACATAAGGCTGTAGGGTAAGGCGTTCGTTTCCAAATTCACTGCTGGTGAGAACGCATGCAGACCAGAATAAGCTGTACACGGAATGGGGAGAATAAAAACTACGATTTCTTTGTCATTTAGTGTCACTGGTTAGATGCGACCTCGATGTTGAAGCTACGAAACACACTTGGAAAATGAAGAAGGTGGGAGAGGTCTAAAGAAACTATTTCCCTCACCAGTGTGTAGCTTTGTACACCCTGAATTTACTCGGAACATGTTGTCAGCATTGTTTGTTACTTTAAAACTAGTCCCTCTTTCCCTAGGATTTTGATTGCCCACGTGTAAATTTATCGCTTTTGTTGTTTTTTTTTTAATTTTTATCGATTTTTTGGGGGGGCGTCAATACTGTGGCAGAGGAAAAGTTGCGAGGTCATTGTAACATTTTTCCCTTTCATATAAAAGAAAATGTTTAAGATGAAATTAAATATCAAACCAACCCTGAAACCTATCAGCAGCCTGAAGATCTAAAAGATTCAAAATGTGACACCTTGATTGGTGTAGCTCCTGCAGCACTGTGTGACCTTGGGCAAGTAAATTAAGCTCTCAGAGTTTATATTCCATTTCCTCCTCATAAGGAGGGAGGGAGAATAATGTAATTAGTAGCAGGGGGAAACTTGACACTGACCAAGGCTGCAGATGTTCACAGAACGAATTCCAGGTTTAGCAGGACACTTATCCAGGTGAACTCCATTAAATAAATGAAGGCTTATTAGGAGTAGCATGAAGAATAAGCAATATGCTGGAAATATTTTAACCATTGAAAACTTCTAGGGGCTGACAGTGCAGCTCTGTTGGCATATTGCCCACCTAGCATGCCTGATGGAGCATATCTATAATTCCAGCACCCAGAATTCCAGGCAGGGGGATCTTTGTGAACATGAAATCAGCCTAGTCTATATGGGGAGTTCCAGGCCAGCCAGACTACAGACATGACATAGAGGATATGTAACCATAAGAAGCTCCACACTCAGGAGGCAGAGGCAGGAAGACCTCTGTGAATCTGAGTTCAGCCTGGTCTACAGAGCAAGTTCCATGACACCCAGAACTACAAAGAGAAACCCTGTCTGGAAAGGGGGGGGGCTTTCTTTCTCAGACTTGATAGACTGCATGAGATCTGAGATAGCCCCTACTGAAAGCCTACACTTCCCAACTTCCCATCCTACAATCGATCCTAGTCCTTTCTCTGTAGGTGTTTTGACCATGGGGTGGGGGCAGACAGAGGTGGCCCCTTAGCCTGAATGAGCATGGTCTTGCCTAAAGGTAAGACCAAGACCCTCTCTGTTCTTTTTACAGCTGTCTTTTTTTTTTTAGTTTTTGGTTTTTCGAGACAGGGTTTCTCTGTAATGTTTTGGAAGCTGTCCTGGAACTCACTCTGTAGACCAGGCTGGCCTCGAACTCACAGAGGTCCGCCTGCCTCTGCCTCCCAAGTGCTGGGATTAAAGGTGTGCGCCGCCAACGCCCGGCCACAGCTGTCTTTAATTAACAATCCTGTCCTGGGCTGACAAATCAAGGACAACCTGTGACACTTAGTGAAAGCCTATAAGAAGGACAAAAGAGGAGCTGGAGAGAAGGTAGTTAAGACCACTGACTGCCCTTGCAGAGAACTGGGACTTGATTTCCCGACCTCGTATACAAACTAGAGTTTAAGAGGATCTAGCCAGCCGGGCGTTGGTGGCTCACGCATTTAATCCCAGCACTCGGGAGGCAGAGACAGGCGGATCTCTGTAAGTTCGAGACCAGCCTGGACTACCAATCGAGTTCCAGGACAGCCTCCAAAGCCCCAGAGAAACCCTGTCTTGAAAAACCAAAAAAAAATATATATATATCCAAGAGTTGGTGGCTCATGCCATTAATTCCAGCACCCAGAAGGCAGAAACAGGCAGATCTCTGTGAGTTTGAGGCCAACCTGGCCTACAGAACGAGTTCCCGGACAGCTTCCAAAATAATACAGAGAAACCCTGTATCATAAACAAGTAAATAAGAGCCGGGCGTGGTGGTACACACCTTTAGTCCCAGCACTCGAGAGGCAGTGGCAGGCAGATCTCTGTGAGTTCGAGACCAGCCTGGTCTACAAAAGCTAATTCCAGAACAGCCTCCAAAGTCACAAAGAAACCCTGTCTCGAAAAACCAAAAACAAACAAACAAAAATTTTCCTGTGATGTTAACTTTCAGGTTATTTTTGTTTTACTTTTGTTTTCCAAGACAGGGTTTCTCTGTGTAGTCCTGGCTGTCCATGACTCACTCTGTAGTCCAGGCTGGCTTCGAACTCACAGAGAGCACTTCCACCCATTTTAACTATTTTTGTTTTTTTTGTTTTTTTTTTTGTTTTGTTTTGTTTTGTTTTTTTCGAGACAGGGTTTCTCTGTGGCTTTGGAGGCTGTCTTGGAACTAGCTCTTGTAGACCAGGCTGGCCTCGAACTCACAGAGATCCGCCTGCCTCTGCCTCCCGAGTGCTGGGATTAAAGGCGTGAGCCACCAACGCCCGGCCCATTTTAACTATTTTTAACTTTATATTTTTGTGGTTTTGGGTGTATTTCCTGCATGTAAGTCTCTGTACCATATATGTGTAATGCCCATGGTAGCCAGAAGAGAATTGGATTCCCTCAGAACTGGTGTTACAGATGGTTGTTAGCCAGCATGTGGATGCTAGGAATTGATCCTGGGGTTCCTAACTGCTGAACTACTTCTCCAGGGTCCTTTATATATTTTTTTGAATATATGTATATGAGTATTTTTTACATGTATGTATGTTTACTACATGTATGCCTACCCATGGTTGTCATGTAAGCCATGTGGGAGCTGGGAATAGAACAGACGAATCCTCTGCAAGAATATCAAGTGAATATCAGCCATGTTGTGCACACCTTTAATCCCAGTATGCAGGAGGCAGAGGGAGGCAGATCTCTGTGACTTCCAGGACAGGTGCCAAAGCTACAGAAAAACCCTGTCTGGAAATGAAGAAAAAAAAAGAAAACACCAAACTAATGGGCAAAATAATTCGATGTTTTTGATATATATTTATATATATATATATATTTTTTTGTTTTTTGTTTTTTGAGACAGGGTTTCTCTGTGTAGCTTTGGAGACTATCTGGTACTGGTTCTGTAGACTAGGCTGTACTTGAACTCACAGAGATCCACCTGCCTCTGCCTCCCAAGTGCCGGGATTAAAGGTGCTACCAACGCCTGGACATTTTTTGATATTTTGTTATATGTTTTTTGCTCAGAATTAGTTTTTTGTTGTTGTTTTGTTTTTCTAGACAGGGTTTCTCTATGTAACAGCTCTAGCTGTTGACTTTGAATTTACAGAGATCTGCCTGCCTCTGCCTCCAGAGTGCTGGGATTAAAAGCATACACCACCACCACCTGGCCCAGAGACTTTGTTTTCCCTCTAGATCTTGTTTGCTAAATTGGTGAACAACTATTTTATTTATTTATTTATGTGTTTATTTATTTATTCTTATTTTATGTGCATTGGTGTTTTGTCTGTATGTATGTCTGTGTAAGGGTGCCAAGATTCCCTGGCACAGGAGTTATGAACTTCCATGTGGGTGCTGGAACTTGAACCTGGGTCCTCTGGAAGTGCAGCCAGTGAATGACTATCTTTTTGTTTAGAGACAGGGCCTCACTATGTAGCTCAGGCTGGATTGGAACTTGCAGCTTAGACCGTGTTGACCTGGAATTCACAGAGATCAGCCTGCCTCTGCCTCTCAAGTGCTGTGCTAAATTCATGTAACATAATTTTGAACTTTTTTTTTTCAAGACAGGGTTTCTCTGTATTGTTTTGGAGGCTGTCCTGGAACTCGCTCAGTAGACCAGGCTGGCCTCGAACTCACAGAGATCCGCCTGCCTCTGCCTCCCGAGTGCTGGGATTAAAGGCGTGCGCCACCAACGCCCGGCCATTTTGAACTTTGGAAAACAATTTAAGGGACTTTAAGTCATCATGTGACTTGGCCCTTTTATTCTACTCTACTGCCACCCTTTATTTTCTTTCTTTATTTGAGACAGGGACTTACCTAGTTCAGTAGCCTAGGCTGGCATCAAATTATATTGGCCAGGATGACCTTGAACTCCTGATCTTCCTGCTTCCCATCACAATGCTGGGATCCAGGCTTTCTCCCTGAAGTCCTGTTTTATTTGGTGCAGAGATTAAACCTAGAACTTTGTATAATTTATAAACTAGGGATATACCAAACCAATATAGTTAAATTCCAGAGCCTAAATACCTCTTTTTTACAAGTAAGAAATCTACAGTCAAGTTAAAATTATTTTCAAACCAATAAAACTGAGCCTTGTGGTGGAGGCACACACC